TATAGAGTTAGTAAAATGGTCAATAACATATGTTTATTGTTGTTTTATCACAAATAGATATAATTATGATATCAGCCTGTGGGGTTGTTTGTTTTAGTCATTTTAACATGCAACAATTATGAAATGTTGACTATTTAATCAGGTAAATATTAGTATTTGAGTCATAAAGCAACAATTATCAAAATCATGTAGATGTTATGGCTTATGGTCATATATTATTGGCCAATCCAGATTTGCCTAGGAGATTTGAACTTAATTCTCTTCTTAATAAGTACAACAGATAGATATTTTATACTTTTTAATCTTGTTATTGTTACAGTAATTATTATTCATTTTTAGAATCTAATAAATTGAAATTTTGTTGATATTAATGTGGAATTTTTTTTCCTTGATATTATTGATATTTGAATGAGTTTCATGAGATTTTACATGAATTTTCATTTTTTTGTGCAAGAAAGGAGTTACTTGGATGAAATCATAACTTTTAGGACCAAACAGTAGATATCAGTCACTTAAGGATTAAAGTGCGCAGAAACCAGAAGTTAGGAATCAATACTGTCATTTTGCCATAAAATTAATAGAATTGCGATTTGGCCTAAAAGTTATCCACCGATTTAGTAAATGTGTCGGCACTTTGAACTGGGTGTCGACCTACCTTGGGCAATCTAATAGCCGTTCTTATTTTGGTGTGGTTCCATATCTATGCCAATTAGGTTTTCTATATTGCTATAAATACTCATTTAAGATTAGAATTGAATAGTTTTTGGGTTTTGGAGGCTTTTGATAACCCTCTTTAAGCACTCTTAGAGACCAAATTAGAGGTGGTAAGGATTCTGTAATAATAAAGAAGATTAAGGAAGTTAATAACCTCAAATTAAGTTTTCTTTTTCATGAGTTTATTCTTTATTTTGGTATGGATTCTTGGTTCATACTTAATATTCTATTATTTTTATTATAAACTAATTTTAGCTAAGACTACTACATGGTCTAATTAATTTAATATAAAATTTTATATATTTTTTTTTATCTTGGTTGCACAATGAGATACAACAATCTTTCATCTCTTATCCTACTCCACCCGTATGCCATGTGACTCAAACTCAGGACCTTTTATTTTCAGTAAAAAGAGATAACTACTAAATTACTTAAATCGTTAGTAAAATTTTATGATTTTTATACTTTTGAAATTACTATTTCATGATGAGTATATATTATTATTTTTAATGCTTGATCACCATTAAAATTGATTTGAAAAGTATAATTAAGACTAAGAAGAGATTTTATCTAATAGCTTTTAATGATATATACCATGAATCGAACAAAAATCAAAGATGAAATAACGTTAGTTGTGCAATATTAATAATAAATGGGTTTTATTTTTTATTTAAACTAAGGAATTTTAGAGAATATAATATATTTTTATTTATTGAAATTCACATAAAAATATAGTGGGTTGATAGATAAAGATAGGTTTGGTATAATTTGATAAAGTATATCAAAATGATAAAAAAAAAAACTCTAATATCGCACGATTAGCTTACATTCTAAAAGCATAGCAATTTAAAATCTATATTGATTGGTTATGGTAAAATTAGTACCTTAGTACTTTATATCTTAGTGATTTTATTTTAAATTGT